TGTATGCTTCATTTCAATTATTGTATCCTTTATTTCTGATGGTTCTTTTTTATATTTTCTATCTCCATTTTTATGTTTCCTATCTTTTTGTTGAAGTTCTCACTGAGATCATTGAGCACCCTTATAACCAATGTTTTGAATTCTGCACCTGGTAGATTGCATGTCTCCATTTTGTTTAGTTCTTTTTCTGGAGCTTTTGTTCTACTCTTTCATTATCCCCTCATTTTGGGTGCCTCCCTTTGTTTATTTCTATATATTTGGTACAATTTCTATGTCTCCTAGTCTTGGTAAAGTGGCCTTATGTAGTAGTGTTTTGTAGGACCCAGTGACACAGTCTCCCTGGTTACCTGAGCCGAGTGCTCCCGGTATGTTTCTTGTATGGGTTGTATGTGCTCTCCTGAGGTATGAGTCTTGATTGCTGTTGGCACATCAATGGGAAACCTCAGGATGATTGGCTATGAGGACAGGCCATGACTACAGTGGAGGAGCTGCTGTGCAGAGGGTGACCCTACAGAGCAGGATCTTTGTTAGCAGGACTCTGGTGCCTGCCAAGTCTGCCCTTTGAGCGTGTCAGTTGTAGAAGTGGTTGGGTGATGCTGTAGTGTGGTATGTGCTGGCCACCAGGTGTGTTGGTCCTGGAGTCCCTTGGGAGGGGGTGTGGTGTAGGCCAAGTTTAGCCAGTACCTGGTCCTGGGGCCACTTGGTATGAGCTACAAAGTGATCTGCAGATGATTGCCACTTGTGCTGAGCTTAGAGGTGGCTGAGAGAGGCTAAGCTGCGAACTCAGGCAGCCTACTGCTAGTGCTGGACCTTGGGATGCTTAGCAAGAGGTACAGGGCACACTGAAGCCAGATGCTGCTTGTTTGGGGTTTGTGAACCTTTGAAAGATTTTTAAGGGAGTCTGTAGTATGAGCCAAGACAGGCCATTTGTATGGAAAAGCCACTGAAGCAGCTTGGGTGGGCCTGACAGTTGGGTGGGGTGGGATCTCTGGGAGTCACCAGGGTGGGGTGAACAGTGTTAGCTAGGTTATAGAGGCTCAGATATGGTACCTGCCTCCACGTGCAGTCTGGGTGGTAGGAGTGCTCAACAAAGGAACAATGGCTTATGCCAGCACTTCTGTCTGGGAGAAAGCTGCCCCTTCAGACCTCACCTTGAAGTCAGACAATTCAGTTCCTCCCCGTATGTCCTTGGTGCCTTTCAAGCTGCTGTCCCAGCACTGGCATACAGCACAAGTGAATCCGTCATCAACTTACTCCTTTAAGAGCAATGCCTGGGACTCTAGCAGCCCTCGGCTCACTCGCCACCATCTCCACTAGTTTTGAAAGCCAGAAGTTGTGGGAGCTTCACTTCCCAGCACTGGAACTCTGGGCTGGGGAGCCTGATAGGGGGTGGGACCCCTCACTCCTCAGGGGGTGCCTCCGCAGACAAGATATCTCTCCCGATTTTAATGGTCACCCATGGGTGTGGGACCAGCCTGTTCTACGTCTCCACCCCTCCAACAGTCTCAACATGTCTTCTTCTATATGCCCTTGGTTATAGGACTTCTGTTCAGCTAGACTGCAGGCAATTCTCAATGATGGTTGTTCTGCAGTTTAGTTGTAATTTTGATGTGGTCATGTGAGGAAATGAGCACAGCATTTACATACTCCATCATCTTGACCCACTACCAATGCAAACACTACTTTTTAATCTAGCACCAACTAAGAAATTTCTGAAATTGGCCCAAATTACCAAAATGGGCTAAGAGTAAGCACCAAGAAAATGTTAAAAAAATCTCCCCAAATAATGCCAAAGTGTAATTAAACTAGAAATTAAAAACAAAGTATAAATTTTTTTAATACCACTTGAGTAACACTTACAATTAATCCCTCAATCAAAATAGCAAAAAAATGCTTTGAATGTTAGGATAAAGAGAACATATATTCACATACTCATAAAAAATTCTTTAGTCAAAGGGAAAATCAGAATAGCAATTATATCATGCCTTGAAAGTAAAAATAAAGAGAACATGTGTCAATGCCTAAGGAGTTCTGTCAAAGCCCAAATCCAGAAGAGGAAAAAAAAACATTAAAGACTTTTATTATCAAACCAGAAAGGATGGAAATAAGTTGACATATGCATGCAACTCAAGAATTTAGTAGTAGAATATAACCAACTTAAGAGAAGCAGAAAGAAGAAAATAATAAAAATAAGGGAGAAGTTAATGAGGTAGAAAAAAAAACAAAAACGATTTTAAAAACCACGTTTATTCTTTGGGAAAAAGAACAGTAATAAAACAGACAACCTAAGCTAAGCTAATCAATTTTTAAAAGAGAGAAAAACTAAACTATGAATAAGAATAACCTGGAGTTATATAACTTATAACCCCAGAAGAGTTGTAAACAAAATATTCCATATGACATTCTGTCAATATATTTAAAATCTCAACAAAACACTTTTTCAGGAAAATATAAATTATAAACATTGACTCAAGAAAATGTAGGAAAGGGCCGGCCGAGTGGTGTGATGGTTAAGAACTGGCTTGGGACGCCGGAGGGCCCCGGTTCGGATCCCACATATGAGGGCCAGTGACACTGCCCTCTACAGCTAAGATGCTGAACAACAGCTCAACCTGGAGCTGGGCTGCCATGAGTCGCCAGCGACGGCAGGTGGGTTGCCATGGGCTACCGCGTGTAGTCAGCAGCCAGCGTGAGCTGCCGTCCAGAAGCTGGCGACTGATCTGCCTCGCCAGGGAAGAGCGCAATGATGGTGCCAACTTGGGCCAGTGAAGCAATGTCCTCCACAACTAGACTGAAGAACAAAAAGACAGCAACTTGTCTGTTCCCCTTCCCCCAATTCCCCAATAAAAATCTTAAAGAAAGAAAATGTAGGAAATATAAACAGACCAAAAAAAAAATCATAGAAAAAATTGACAAAGATATCAAAGAGTTATCTCCTAAAAGGGGTAACATTTAAATGATCTTATGAGCAAATGTGTCAAACTTTAAAGGTAAGGAATAATTCCAAAATGATATAAACTTTTCCAGAGCATAAAAAAATAATACAGAAAACTTCCCAATTCATTTTAAGAGAACCAGCATAACCCTGGAAATGAAATCAATAATTAAATATGCAGGATCTAAAGGAAAATAATAATAAATCTTTACCAAAGCACATAAATAAACAGGGAAGACAAAACATAAGTAGATATTGAATAAATGTATAAATGTACCTTCTTCCCCACTGGGATGACTCAATCTAAATCCCAATTCTCACTAGATGAATTTGCAAATTTAATCCAATTCCACTTAAAATTTCAGACAAAGAAAAGTGGTTTAGGACACTAAAAATCTTAGCCATAGTCACCCAACTCTTCAAGGCAAAATGCAAAAACCAGGTCTATCTGACCCCAGAGACCACGCTTTCCCAGTGGAAATTAACTTGAAGAAGTAATCAGATATTAGTAAAAACAGCTGACACTAAACAGCAAAATGTCATCTGACTGATCAGTGACAGATGAGTTTGAAGTCCTGGGATGAGCTTTTAAAGAAGACATATTCCTAATGAATCCATAGCAATTTATTATAAATTTGTACAAACTTCTCTAGTTAACATATTAATTTTAAAGTATCTTCCCTTGCATATTATTTACTTAGAAAGAAATCATTTTGTTTTATTTACATACAAATACTCAGGGACCTAATTTGTGTTATTTTGTAGTTGGCTTTATATTATTATTATTATTTTTTAAGATTTTATTGGGGAATTGGGGGAGGGGAATAGCGTTGGGGAATCGGGGAAGGGGAACAGACAAGTTGATGTCCTTTTTGTTCTTCAGTCTAATTGTGGAGGACATCGCTTCACTGACTCATGTTGATATTATCATTGCACTCTTCCTGGGTGAGGCAGACGGGTCACCAGCCATTGGATGGCCGCTCACGGTGGCTCACGGTGGCTCACAAAAGCTCACGCCAGCTGCCGGGCAGCCCCACTGCAGCCTACACCGGCAACTCACTGGCAACTCACAGCAGCCCAGCTCCAGGTCAAGCTGTAGAGGGCGCAGTGTCACTGGCCCTCATGTGGGATCCGAACTGGGGCCCTGCTGCTTAGAGCTGGTGTCCCAAGCCAACTCCTAACCAACACGCCACTCGGCTGGCCCTGTCTTTATATTATTAAGATTGGCCATGTTTTTAATTATTTCTACCAAATCAGTGTCACTTCCTGTTTCTAGAGGCAGCAATAACTGAAGGCTTTTCTTAAGTGAGATATCAAATGGCAAGTTGAGAACTACCTCAACTCCCACAAAATAAAAAATGACCCTAATGGCTTCTCAAGATTTGCTTATAAGGTATTTAATTAATCCTAACACCCTACAACCAGAATTATTTTAAAAAACATTACTGTCACAGTGTTATTATAAAACTCCATGTGATTACTACATGCAATAAGGTTTATTGCTACTTCTCGAAGCTTCTTCCTGTGGACTTCTTTTCCCCCAGGATTTCCTCCTGCATCCTAGGACTGCCTTCCCCTATCCACCTGCCCACTGTTAACTTGATTACCCAGCCCTAATCAATTCTGGGGCCAGTTCCCATCCTAGATGCAACACTACTGGGTCAGCCTCCCTGGCTCCTCCTCTCTCATCGGCAAGAGTAAGAAATGACTTGTGTTCCCTACCAAAGATGAGCCAGATGCCAATCCTCTATTGCCTTGGATAATTGAGAATTGACTGTATCACCACCTAATACACTGCTCCTTTACATGCCTCTTTGGTACCTGCCACGTCAACCCAGAGATCCCCACTGGGAAACAACACATCAGTGCCCATTCAGCCTGGCATCAATAGGATGGGAATCTCTCCTACTAGACCGGTTCTGACCCCTGGAGCAATCACATTCTCCTGGCTACAGATTTCAGAAAGCAACTATGAACTCTCCAGCCCAGGTGATTCGCAGCACATTTTACTCACATCCTGTGCTTAGCATTTTCTAGGAGGAAATGAGACTTCCCTTCCACCTACCAGCTGTCTGGAACCTAATGATGGCTGGCACAGAGCGTCTGGGAGGGGCAGTGGAAATGCTCATGGTATAGTTGGTGCCTTGGGACAGATCGAGGCACACTGCTGGGGTCCTGCTGTCTGTGGTCAGGTTGACTGTCTCCTCATGAACGGATTCCATCGGGTCTCCCCGGTGTCCTGTTATGTGGATCTTTGTGAGGGGAAAAGACAAGAGAACCCACCATGACTCCGGTTAAAACGATTGAGAGAGACTTTGGTGCTAGGTCCTATCCTCCTAGATTCCCCTTTCCACTGCACTGCTCACCTGGGGGAGATGAATAAGGTAAACCTCTGCTATCTGACGATGAAGTCGGATCGGGCTAGTAATCAATAAACCCTAAGAAGTGACATAAAATGAGGAGTGGCTCTAAGGAGTGCTACCCTGCACACAAATGACCAGCGGTCGATGGAGGCAGTCACAACCTGAGAGCCACTCACTGCTTCCTGTCACCACATCAGCGGATGCTTCCAGGCTTACTCTGGGGGAGTGAGATACAAGTGCTTGGAAACAAGCGATAATGATGATGCCAAATATAAATATATCCCCACACATACACCCTGTAAAATGACAAGTATATTAAACACAAACTGGAAAATTAAATGATCCAGCTATCTTTAAAATTCTGTTCACGTTTTAAAAGGATGATGGGATTGGAAAGCAATTAGGCTGAGAATCTCTCCCGGAAACAAGTCCCTCCGACTGGTACTCCCATGGGTTACCATTTCTGCCCTAGCAGGAAAAAGCAGATCACTTACTTACCACATATATGACCTGGTTGTTTCTTCTTCCTGCGTTTATTTCCCACCTCACACAGGTGTTATTAAACACTGATACATTGTTAATTTCTGTAATTATTTCTAAAATACAAAAAGAGAGCATCCATTCACAAAATACATCGATGGGCTCTGGAAAAATCCTGACGACAACCACACTGAAGAGCATGACTTGGTTTATTTGCCCAGCTAATATCTCTGCTGATCACCATTCATTCTCTGATTCAGAAAACGATCAGGCAATTCAGGCTGCCCCAGGCCAATCCCCCAGTTTATCTTCACGAATGAGCCTGGCCCACTACCTGACTTGGAAGAGAAGGAAAGATGCCTGCTTGAGTATGGGTAAGAATTCCAAGCTGTGATTGGCCTGACAGGCCACTGGATGCCACTGGTGTTCTAGGGAAAGAGGCCCAGAGCTGTGCCCTTAATCTTCCTACGGCTGCACAGGTGAGATCTGCTTCCGGCTTCTTCCTCCCACCCGGCTGACAGAGCACTCTTATTTTCAGGTGACTGCTATTCCCAAGAATGAAATGGCGGCCATCACCACACAGGACCATCCCTTAGGAGCAGCTTGGGGTAAACTAAATAAATTCTTCACAAGGTCCATGGATACATACCTCTGGGACTCCTTGAACTGCAGCCACTTAATCCTGACCTACCAGGATGCCACTGATTTCTTTGAGTTGTTCTGCTTCTTATAAATATTCTGCATGTATTTCATGCAATGAACTTGGCAACACGGGAAATGGTATTAGGGTCTGGGTTTCCTGAGGTAACACAGGCGCCAACAGACCCACCTAACCACCTACAAAGTTGTTCAGATGAGAAGAAGGCAAAGATCTAGCTTTTTACCTATTTAAAATCAAATTCCCTACAGGCAAGTAAAACTATTTGCAGAGGACATGATCTTATCTATAAAAAAATCCTAAGGAATTCACATAAAAATAACCAGAGCTAAGAAAGTAGTTCGGCAAGGTTGCAGGATACAAAGTCAATGTACAAAAGTCAGTAGGATTTCTGTGCACTAGCAAGGAACAATCCAAAAATAAAATCAAGAAAACAATTTTATTTACAGCAGCATCAAAAAGGATAGAATTCTTTAACTCATTTCTCTTGAACTCAGAACCAATGCCACCTTTAGATAAACTTTGGTTTACTGATCTCTTTGAAGACTTGACATCTTTACTACATCATCCTATCGGCAGCATTACAGAGATTCTATGTCCCACCTTACCTCGTCTTGGATAAGCCAGGTCAGCTATCACTAAGTGGGAATAAGTGGAGGCAGAGAGAGGAAAACAGACAAACTTGTAGAGAGACCCGAGAGGACCACCTATGGCTATCTAAAGCATTCCTGGGTCTCTATATCCATACTTCTCCCAAGAGCACAGAGAATTTGAAATAAAAAAAACTACTCCAGTCGTGGACATGACACCCCAAAAGATGCAAAGATCCTATCCATTTACCCCCTTGGGTAGCATAAAGATGATGTCGGCACCAGTTTTTTATCAGCTCGCACAAACTCCAAACATTCCTGGCCCCTTCCCTCTCCACCACCTTTCAAAGCCCTAAAGCTGTGGACCCCTCTGCTCACTCACACATCTGTCTGACAGTAACTCAACACCTGGTCTAGAAGGAGAAGGAAACATCCCACCCGTCACCTTCTCTGAGTTGCCAGTAAAGATTTCCTTCTCACTCGGGACACCTTTGCCACCCAAGCAGAGGTTAGAAAGGAGACACAAAAGTTTCCTTTCTTGTCCTTCCTTTTTGCTCACTGACTATGACAACTGCAAATGCCATCTGCCTCCAGCGTAAGCCACGCTCTGTGCACAGAGGGGACCCAGATCTGATTATAGGGTATCAGATATTTCATCCCAAGGAGCAGTTAACAAAGCTTGGTTGCTTTTCCTTCCAGGTGTCTATAAATCAGCTGGAAAGACTTCTTTATAAACATATCAGATATTAAACATTCACATTGATGCTGCCTTTTTAAGAGACGGCTTGGGAGGCTATGCCCTAATTCCAATACCAGTAAGTGACTAGAAATTCTCTCTGGAACCTACTCCAGAGCTCTTGATTCACCATTAGCTGAATGACTACAGAATGCCAAGCATCCTCCCATGCCAGACACTGGGCTGTGATGATGATCAGAACGTAAGTCCTTCTCTCAGGAACATGTTGTCTAATGGAGGGCGCAAACATGTAAGCAGGTAAGTTACAACTCAGCAAGTATTACACACAAGTACCACAGGGTATAGAGAAAGAAGTCATCAACTGTCACTAAAGGAACTGGGGAAGCCCGCTTCATGGAGGGCATGACCTTAATGGATGAATGGCTGAAGAGTGGGAAAGACAGCTAAGCAGACAGACCAGCAGGTCTAATGCCTAGAACTGTAAAAGGGTGTGGCATATTCAGTATGCTAAGAGAGAAGTGTCACATGACTGAGAAAGAGGAAAGATGGGAAGTGAGGCTGCCAGACACAGGGTCGCAATGGGAAAGACCTTGATAGATAGGTCAATATGTAAAGACTGATAAATAGGACTTGATAGGCTTGATCTCATCTTCATAGCAGTCATAAGAAGCAATAATAAGATCAGTAATGAGTGAATATATATTGTTGCTACTATGGACCAGATAGCATGTATACTACTTTAAATTTCTCATTTATTTAATCTTCAAAATAACTCCATGAGCTTGATACTACCATGTCCATTTTACAGACCTGAGGCTTACAGAAGTAAGCTGCCAAAAGTCATACAGCTAGTAAGCAGTCCAGTCAGGATTCAAACCTAGATCTGTCAGACTCCAAAGTCAAGAGCCTTTGCAATGAAGCAGTTATTCAGCAAAAAAGTTAGGAGATGAAATCAGGGCATTGCATTTAAAATCATGAGACACTTCTAAAGGAGAAGCAACAGGTGAGAGAGATACGGAATAGAAAGGAATCTAGGCTTACTGCCAGTCTTTGAACTTGAGGGTCTGAATGGATTGCCTTTTACCGTTCTCATAATAAATACAGAAGGAAGCAGACTGGGTTTGTGAGAGACCAATGAACTGTGTTTAGAATATGCTAAATGTAAGTTACCTACAGAATACCCAGGTGAAAAACTGCCCCGCAGGTCATCAACGTGTGGATGGCAGTTGAAGCCCTGGGTGCAGGTGAAACATCCAGATAGGACATAGAGTGGCCCAATGACAGAACACCGGAAAACACTGAAACCCCAGGGGAAACTAGAGGAGAAAGAGCAATGCAGAAGAGAGGTAGGAGGTTGCCTGAGAGAGTGTGATGCCTAGAAGTTAAGGAAAGAAAAGACTGGGAGGAGTGTCGGCTTCCTCCAGCATCATCTCTCTTCCTTCCTGCCACAGCCTCCTCACCTCCCACCCACGAAAGACCTGGAGCAGGTTATCAAGGTACGGGCGGCAAGCCTCATCTCTCTTTCTCTTCTTTCATAGGGCTCTCCTCTGATGAACTGCCCACAATGTCATGATTAGATCTGAGGTTTGACTTTGGGGAGAAATAGGGAAAGCAGGCCTTTGGCTCATCCAGGTGTAGGGCACTTAGGCATCTCTGGCTTAAAATAAAAAGAGGCCCCATAGCGTCCAATTGAACTCTACACCGGACTTGGGAAACCAAAGCCTCAGTGGGTAATAGAGTACCTTCGCTTTGCTTTCGATTCTGTATGTTGTGTGTACATAAATGTACATAGGTACATAAAGTTACGTATTTTAGTCTTCTATTAGCATCTGGTATTTTGCTGGGTTACTTATCACATGTGTAACTAAATAGTTTTGTCATTAGTTATTTAATGTCTATCTCTCCTGAGTGTAAACTCTAAGAGGGCAAAGACCAGGTTTATCTCTAAGCCCAGAACCTACCTAATACAGTGTCTCAGACATAGATATTTTAAAAATATTTATTATTTAGTTGATCGGTTGAATGGATGGATGAATAGACAGATGATCAGCAATGCTAAATGTTGTAGAAAGGCTAAGAGGAATGATGGCTGAAACCAGAACATGAATTTGGCAGTTGGGTGGTCATGAGTGACCTTGGTGAGAGCGCTACAGCGAAGTGGGGGTGTTAGATGCCTGACTCCCCTTTAGGAGGCTAAGAAGAAGATAGGATGGGAGGGAACAGACACAGTGAGCACAGACTACCCTTTCAGAAGTCCCACTGTAGGCAGAGACTGGTCTAGTGTACTCTCTTGGTTTCCAATTGTATATCCTTTTTCTTTATTTTTGGAAATAGTATAAGTTCATACATACAGAATAAGTTCAGGTGACCCAAACAGACTCTCAAGCTCAATGTCATTTCTAGTCAAAAACAGTATCAGATTTCAAAGTAATATGACTGATCTTCTAATATGACTCATAAACTACCTCCAAAGCCAATTCCCAAACAGGAATTATAAAATAGATAGATTTTGATAATGGCAACATCATGGAAGTGAGGGTATGGCTTCCCAAGGTGACGACTTTGAATAAATGCATGTTTGAAAAAAGTCAAGGATAAGAGTTCTGCTGTTTCCTTTCTCTTTTTTAAAGTCTTTAGAGTCACATAAAATAGAAGTAGCATGGCTTATTGTAGTGATTTCCTAAACTGCATTAGATACTTTAGGATGATTTTTGGTGGTACTTAAATACATTTGTATGTTTGCTTTATATTTACTTTTGTGTATATTAGAAAAAAATACACCTAGTTCATCAAACTCATGATATCACATGTATTACAAAGTGTTCTTTTATTTATTTATTTATTTTTTAAAGATTTTTATTGGTGAATTGGGGGGATGGGAACAGCGCTGGGGAATTGGGGGAAGGGGGACAGACAAGTTGCTGTCATTTTGTTCTTCAATCTAGTTGTGGAGGACGTTGCTTCACTGGCCCAAGTTGGCACCATCATTGCGCTCTTTCCGGGCGAGGCAGATCAGTCGGCGGCTTCTGGACGGCCGCTCACGGCGGCTGCTGGCCGCTCACACTGGCTGCTGGCTGCACACGGTAGCCCATGGCAACCCACTGCCACAGGGGCTGCAGCCTCCGCCGTCGCTGGCAACTCACAGCAGCCCAGCTCCAGGTCGAGCTGTTGTTCAGCATCTTAGCTGTGGAGGGCAGTGTCACTGGCCCTCATATGTGGGATCCGAACCGGGGCCCTCTGGCGTCCCAAGCCAGTTCTTAACCATCGCACCACTCGGCCGGCCCACAAAGTGTTCTTGAACAATAAATTGAAATCACAAATTTAAGTTTTAAGTATAAATGTTTAACAAACTTATTAAATAAATAATACTTTTGTTATGGCAAACACTGTCAGGTTGGTATACAAATAAGTTAAGCTTGGAAAACACTGGCATAGGAGAAAGATCGCAGGGCTCTTGGGAGCTAACAGACCTGAATTCAAATCCTGACTCTGCCATTTACTAGTTACTGAGTGACCCTGTGAAAGCTGTTTGACTTTCATGAGTCTCAGATTACTCATCTATGAAATGAAAATAACAATATTTAACTTCACAGGGTTTCTCTGAGGACAAAATAAAATCAAGTATGAAGGCCTTTAGCTGAGCTCTGGGCGTGTAAGTTCTTGTACAATCAATGGTAGTTATAATGGTTGACAGTCCAAACGTTATGCACACATTCAAACAAAACCCCAATCATGTGGCTATTTATATAAATGTGTCCATTTATCCCAGTTGGCCTTTCTTTTCCATCTGAGTTATGCAGAGCTGCAACTGAGCTGAAGAGGAGGGTTGACAAAAAAAAACAAAAAAACAAAACAAAACACAGAAGAGCAGAGGCTACCAGGAGGCCTGGGGGCAGTTTGTCTGAATCAGGTCGGGGGCTCAGAAAGGTTCCCGGCTGACAAGCAGTCTGTGTTCCAATAGACATGTTACCCTTCTAAGAGCACGGAAGGATTGAGCATCAACCTTATAATTATTAACTCAGATTCTAAACAGAACATGCCAAATGACCTGTGCAGAATGAAAGCCAAGGACAATCTTATCAAGAATGAATCAACCTCTTTGATCTTGAGGTAAACTAACTCACTAAATATCAAGCTTCCATCTGGGGTTTTTTCCAGACACTAAAGTGGTTGCCTAATTCTCTGTTGTCTGGAGTTTCCAGTCCAAACTGGCCTTAAAAAAAAAAAAAAAGAAAAGAAAGTCCCATCACCTTGCTGGAGTTCACACTCCATTAAAAATATAGGTACATGCTACTAATCCAAAGCCATAGGGACTCCAAAAATATTGTTAACGAAAAACAACCCAGGTAAAATGAGGATAAATTATTCCACCCAATGTAGAAGTAAACATTCAAGTATAAAAAGATGGGTCAATGGAATGAAAACAGAGAACAGAGAATAGAAGGTATTCAGAGGTTTGGCAGAAAAAGTAGTAGATTGGGGAAAAACCCGAAAGTGAACACAGAGGAAGGCAAGTACAAAATGCAGAGAGGGGGTTGGGACAGAAGGGGAGGTGCAGAATGAGTGAAAAACAGGGAAAAGAAGGAAGAAGGGCAAAAGCCGTGGTAATCAGTATCTCACTACATTTCCAGCAGCCTCTCCTACCTTCCTACCCAGGGATCATGTGCACGGCACCATGAATTAATCAGCATGTAAATCACCCCCTTTATCTGTGGAAATGGAATTTAGCTGCCAATCTTGATTGAGGGCAGCGAGGCCTCCTCGCAGAAAGATAACAGCTCTCAGGGAGAATGCCTTTTCTCTCCTTAAATCAAAGCTTGCATAAACCTATGGAAACAGCTGCAGCTGGAGCCAGACTCTGTGAAAGGTGGCAGGCTGAGGACGGTAATGATAATTAGCAGTTACATAACATGTTTGTTCTTCAAAGTGCTCTACAAGCATCAGCTAATTAATAGCTTACTATGCCCCATGCAGATCCACTGGTTTTTCATGTAGTGACTAATCTTTGTACCCCCACTGAATTCTGAATGGTGGAGGCAGAACAGCTTGAGCAATGAAGTAAATGGCTGGGTCCAGTAGCTATGTCCAGATCTCTTACCCTGTGACTCCATAGACAGCTCTGGACCAGGAATACATCCCCAAATGTTAAATTCTGCATCCCATGAGGCAGCTGCCTCACTTGCTCCAAATGACTCTTAGAGGTGCTGTTAGAGATGCAATAATAGGTTGGAATGACCATCAGTCTGTTCCAATATGGCATTAGCTCTTCTCAACTTCCTCAATTATTAAGGCTAGAACCCTGGAGTTCTTGGTGTTAGTTACAGGGTTGCCTTTGCTGCTCTGTGCAAGTTGGGCAAGTCAATGAGAACTCTCTAGTGATCTCTGGGTTATCATCCATGTCTACCCTTTGTTTCTATGATTCCAGTATCTAGCCTACATCCTGTTGCATTTGTGGTAGAAATGGCTGAATGTGGGAACTGCACGGCACAGGCAGAGCCTCAGCAGCGATGCTCAGTTCTCCATCTACTCCAGGATGATTTACCCAAGGACTTCTAGAGGTCCACAGATGCCCTGAATTTGTAAAACATTATATGTATATGTGTATGTGCATTTCTTTGCAGAAAAGTCTGTTTACCCAATTGCCCTGTTAATTCCAAGAAGGTAGTTTGTGTCTAACAAAGTACCTCATACATAGTGTATGCTAAATAGATATCTATTGAATGAATTGATACATTTCATCAAATTCCTATCCCCCAAGTGGTTATGAACCATTGCTCCATGGACAAATTATTACCAGCAGTCCACATGGTTTGCTTGCGCAGGCTAGACATTTCCTATGAAAAGCTGATTGACAAGACCCAAGACGTTCTATTATATCATAGCTCTGCTGCAAGTCAAACCAGAGACCCAGAGCAAAGCTACCTGGAGATTTCACTCTTCAGAGATCTGTCTTCAGAACCAATGAAGTCAACATCTAGAAATACATTCCCAGAGCCATTCAAGACTATGTGACAACCATTTGTCACACCCCCAGACCAACCATCACAAATGGTAAGAATCATTGTCTTTTCTCACCTGGTTTCTTGGAGACACAGGTGTGAAATAAAGCATGTGGAAGTGCACACTTCTCATTCATGAGATCTTCTGTAAGCAAGGCTAATAATTTCAGTAAAAGACTTAACATGTGCTCTGGGCTTTAAACTGTTCAAACACTGATTTCCTCTCAATAACTCTTTGAAGTAGAGAAAGCAGGCTTTATTTTCCCACTTTTGCAGATGAGGAAACTGAAGCTTAGAGAGAATAATGCCTTACCTGACAACACACAGCTTAATACATAACACTGCTAGAACTTGAATAGAAATCTCAAAACTCCTTTTCAGCAGTAATTCCATTTGGGGATATATATCCAAAAAATTGAAAGCAGGCTCTCAAAGAGATATTTGTACACCCATGTTCTTTGCAGCACTATGCACAATAGCAAAGAGGTAGAAGCAACCCAAGTATCCATCAATGGATGAATGGATAAACAAACAAACAAACAAAAAAATATATATATATATACACACACACACACACACACACACACACACACCTTGGTTTGCGAGAATAATTCGTTCTGGAAACAAACTACTCGTATTGCAAGACATTGCTCGTTTACCACATTAAAATGTATTAGAAATGTTTGCTTGTCTTGCAGAACACTCACAAACCAAGTTGCTCAGAATCCAAGCTTTTACTGTGTGTGTGTGTGTGTGTGTGTGTGCGCGTGTGTATGAAATATTATTCAGCCTTTAAAAAGAAGGCAATCCCACCATTCACAACAAAATGGATGAACCTGGAGTACAGTATGCTAAGTGAAATAAGCCAGTCACAGAAGGACAAATATTACATGATTCCATTTGTATGGGGTAGCTAAATTAGCTAAACTCACTGAAACAGAAAGTAGAATGGTGTTGCCTGGTGCTATGTGGATGAGGAAGTGGGGAGTTACTGTTTCATGGGTATGTAATTTCAGAAGATAAAGAAGTTGTGAAGAATGGTTGCACGACACTGAATATAGTTACACTTAAAAATAGTTAACATGGTAAATTTTATGTTGCATTTTTACCACAATTAAAAATAAACATTTGGGCTGGCCAAGCAGCGCGTTGGTTAAGAGTTGGCTTGGGATGCCAGTTCTGAGCAGCAGGGCCCCAGTTCAGATCCCACATGAGGACCAGTGACACTGCCCTTTACAGCTAAGATGGTGAACAACAACTCGACCTGGAGCTGGGCTGCCATGAGTGGCTGGCGACAGCATAGGCTGCAGTGCGGCTGGCCAGCAGCGGGTGTGAGCTTTCGTGAGCTGCTGTGAGCCGCCATAAGCAGCCATCCAATGTCCGGCAAGCAGCTGCCTCAGCCGGGAAAAGCGCAATGATAATACCAACATGGGCCAGTGAAGCGACGTCCTCCACAACTGGACTGAAGAACAAAAAAGGACAGCAACTTGTCTGTTCCCTTTCCCCGATTCCCCAATAAAATCTTTAAAAATAAATAAAATAAAATAAAAAATAAACATTAAAAACCTCTTTTTCATTACACCACCTTTTCTCTGAAAAGCTGTCAACATGTGCTAAGTTAGGACTTGTAAGTCTGGCCCCTGAGAAAATGGTTTATGGAGAAAAATTCCTCAGCCAGCCAAGCAGTGGAGACAGGAATCACTGTGATTTAAGGTGAGTTTCAAAAGATGGATGCATAACATTTTCCATCTAACTTATTTTCCCAGTCCACCCTCTAAATCTTTGGGATTTAGCTGACAAACTTAAAGCCAGGTGCCCAGCCAGGTAAATGACACAACCAGGCGCAGTCCACAGAGTGAGACAGCAATCGAACAGCTTTAGGTCCCACGCTCCCGGGAGCTGGCCATCTACTTCCAGAAAACAGGAGCCCCACAGAATGGAGTCTATACCTGTGCATGTCAAAGTACTTTCTTTCCAGATGCCTTTCTCTGTGCAAACAGAAGTGATCTTTCCTCCACGGCTCTCAAAGCCCTCTTGACAGACATAGTGGGCCACACTGCCCAGGCTGGAGCTGTGATTCCCCACCAGGATGGCATGCTGCACTTCGGGAGGGCGGCCACAGTCGATCTCTGCAACGGGAAGTAGCACAGCACTGGTTACGACCCCCGACTTCCGCCGCTATAATTCATGTTGTGGAAATAAACAATTGTAATGATCGAGTCCACTCATATGGCGAAAGGTACAAATAATACAATTTTAGGCATATAAAGTAAGAATGTTCAGAAGTAGAGAAAATAGGTATGTCTGACTTCAATGAAATATACAAACATGCACACATAAAAAAATGTTCCAATTATGAGACTATTATATTATAAAGAAGTTCTCAGTCAATGAAATAATCCATCTCAGGGTTCTTTTCCCAGATCTACTTTTTTTTCAGCTGAGCCATCCTGCCACCTGTTGGCAGCTCAGCGGCAGCTCAGTTCGGGCCGGGCATTGAACCGCTGTTGCTCAGAGCTCACAATCTTGAGCGAGCTCTTAACCAACTGAGCCACTCGGCCAGCCCTAGGGCTCTTTTTAATATTAAGCTTTTGCTTCTGGTACTTTTTATTATGTATCTTCAGATCATTAACTCCTGAATAGATGATAATGCAATTGTAGGAGTTTTGTTGCCAAATAAATATTAAATAAAATATATACGAAATCTCTGAACTTTTAAAAACAAAATGGGGAAAGTATTTCTAGTTAAACATTTAATTTACACAAAGCTTTCAAAGAAAAAAAATCAGTTGCACAGGGGGAGACAAACCTGAAACTATAAAACTGACAAGAAATTTCTTCTCTGCAACTCTGACTACTGGGAGACAATGGAATATTTAGAGACCTGTCTGAAGGAAAAGGATTATGATGTTACCATTTTGGACCCAGCCAATGGCTACCTCACATTAAGAGTAAAAGAAAGTCGGGTCGGCCGAGTGGCGCCTTGGTTAAGAGCTGGCTTGGGACGCCAGAGGGCCCCCGTTCGGATCCCACATATGAGGGCCAGTGACACTGCCCTCCACAGCTAAGATGCTGAACAACAGCTCAACCTGGAGCTGGGCGGCCTGTGAGGCAATGGCGACGGCGTAGGCTGCAGCCCCCGCTGCAGTGGGTTGCCATGGGCTACCGTGTGTAGCCAGCAGCCAGCATGAGTGGCCAGCAGCCGCCGTGAGCGGCCGTCCAGAAGCCGGCAACTGATCCGCCTAGCCCGGGAAGAACACAATGATGGTGCCAACTTGGGCCAGTGAAGCAACGTCCTCCACAACTAGACTGAAGAAAAAAAGGACAGCAACTTGTCTGTTCCCCTTCCCCCAATTCCCCAGCATTGTTCCCTTCCCCCCAATACCCCAATTAAAAAAAAATCTTTTAAAAAAAAGTAAAAGAAAGTCATTTTCCGATATTTTACAATGAAAAAAAAAATCTATGTGTATCTTTTCTGAAAAAAGTTTCATAGCTAACAATGTAAAATATTAATAATTTGAAATCAAATTCCAAATTTCTGCAACTAAATCTAAGCAGTGAGGTGAAGGGGAGAAATAAAACATGCTACATTTCTCATTAGTAGTAGGGAGCTCATAGATACAATTTTATTTAAGAAAACATAATAAATATAAAATATAAAGTAAGGTGGTCATAATAATTGCAAACATAACCAGTAGTCCCAGTTATACCTAAATACAGAAAGAAAGAAAAAATCAACACCTGGCATAAGATTTTTTTCTGGTACCTCTTACTATGTATCTTCAGATCATTAACTCCTGAATAGATGATAATGTAATTGTTGGAACTTTGTTGCCAAATGAATAGTAAATGAAATATATACAAATTCTCTGAACTTCTGAAAACAAATTATTCTGGCATGTATTCTGATTTTTAGTTTTCTCCCCAATCTGTAGAAAGCCAAAAAATTAAGCACTCTGACATCTAGGTTTTTATTTTATATTATTTATTTATTTTGTTAAAGATTTTATTGGGGAAGGGGAACAGCGCTGGGGAATTGGGGGAAGGGGAACAGACAAGGTGCTGTTGTTTTGTTCTTCAGTCTAGTTGTGGAGGACGTTGCTTCACTGGCCCAAGCTGGCACCATCATTGCGCTTTTCCCGGGCGAGGCAGATCAGTCGCCGGCCTCTGGACAGCCGCTCACGGCGGCTGCTGGCTGCTCACGTTGGCTGCTGGCCACACATGGTACCTTATGGCAGCCCACTGCAGCAGAGGACTGCAGCCTACGTCGTTGTCAGTGACCCACGGCAGCCCAGCTCCAGGTCAAGCCTTGTTCACCATCTTAGCTACAGAGGGCAGTGTCACTGGCCCTCATATGTGGGATCCGAACCGGGGCCCTCTGGAGTCCCAAGCCAGCTCTTAACCAATGCGCCACTTGGCCAGCCTCTCTAGGTTTTTAAAACGTGAAGTCCATTTATTGAGATAAAGCATTCAAAATAGAGAAAATCGTATGATCTGTTCCCAACTCCCCATCAAGCATTCTTGGCCTTAGAAAATAGGTGGCATCTCTTCAATGAGCTTCTGATACAGGATTGGTGGATTTAATCAATTGCACTCTTTTCCCTCCCAGTATGGATGCTTGGTCTGTTGCAGAACCCCAGAGTTATCTCCCTGAGGGAGGCCTTCAGAGCAGGGTTTCATCTGTTGTCGCTGGAGTTATCATAAGATCCTCGATACAACAGCTCAATCCACTTGACTAGTTGCTTGGCTCTGAGATTTTTAAAAAGAGCTAGTCTCTGGTCAGTGCAGATTCAAATGATCAGCAGTTATGGGGACCAGAACAAGGTGGTCAATTCATAAATCTTCCAACCTTGTCTACCTCTCAAGTCCCATGTTTGCTCACAGGGGTTTGTTCCCCTTTCATACATGTTTACCAGACACAAGGCCCTCATCATGTTTTCCCAGGATCAAACCTTAGGACATTGACTGGTCCAAACATTCCAAGACAGGAGTATATTTGTGTGTAAATGAGCAACTAATCGTACAGGTGGTTAATGTTTCATAAGACTGCCCAGTCACTGTTGACATCTAAAACATCTTCTAGTTTAAGCCAGGGTTCAGTTACAGCAGGAAAATAGAGGGAGCATTGGTGAAGAGATTGAGAGTATAGGTTTAAGTAGGTTTATGGACCTTGAAGCTGGAATTCTAAACAGCACATTGGAGTGGTTTAGGAGGGAACTCAGATACTAAAGGGATAAGAGTACAAAAGATAACTAAATTGGCTTCCATCTTGGACATGACCAAGAGTAATGGAAGGCATGGTGGCTTGGTGGGACTACAAGATTTTTTAAATTAATATCAAAAATATTAACTTGGGGGTTGATGAGAAAGCAATAGCCTGGTCTCTAGGGACTAAGGTTCAGAGACTCAGGTAGATGCCCAGTGGCAGGTGACCTGTGACTCTGAGTTCCCATCACAGAGCTTTTCAAATTGGACAGTTACTTGGCAAGAGATATTTAGAGAGGATTCCAGCATGGCTTGGACAAAACACATGGCTCTAAACAACAGCTGTACACCTGAATCACCTGGGGAGCTTTTGAAAAGCACACCTGGTAGAGTCTCACACCCTCTACACACACCCAGAGATAATAACTCTTTTGAATCAGTAGTACTGAGTTAAGTTCTTTGCACCCACATTTCCACAAAGCTCCAAATTTGAAAATCTAAATTAAATACTGGCATGAGTGGCTACTGCTTATCATCACATGCATCCCAATAGGGTCCTAAATATAAATCATTACTCCTCACAGTAACCCTCCATGCGAGGGATTATTTTCCCCATTTTACAGGCGAAATGGAGCAACATGGTTAAGTAACACATCCAAAGCCACATAGATAGTTATGTGATGGCCAGGAGTTGAATCCACGTCTGGAGGATTCCTTCTCCTATACTCACTGCCTCTCAAAAGCTGCTCCATCTCTGAAATCCTACAGTGTCTTGCCCCTCTCACCTTTCTTGCTCACACTCTTTCTCCTCCAGATATATCTTTCTCCCTCATATCTAGCAAAATCCTTCCCAACGACTAACCCGCTTCATGACTCACAGAGGGATCCCTTCTTCCTCTACACTTTTATGGCCCATATTCATTCGTTCATATATTTATTAATATATTTATTGAGAACCTAGTCCATGCCAGACACTATACTAGTCGTTACTGCAGTGAACAAAATGGACAAGATTACTGCCCTCATACAACTGAGGGCGAGGATAAATAGACAAAACTAAAATCAACAAGATAATTCCAGATTGTGGAAAATGTTATCTAAGAGGTAAGATAATATGATAGTATGGGAATGACTTTTTAAATAGAGTGGTCAGGAATGACTTGATCTCTCTGAGGAGGTAACATCTGAGTGAAGGACCTGAAGGATGAGGGTGAGCCAGTCATGTTTAAAGCAGAGGAAGAACATTTCAATCAAATGAAATAGCCAATGCAAAGAACCTGATGTGAGAAAGCTCTTGGCATGTTCCAGAAAGGAAAGGCAACCCGCTGGCTACAGCACAGTTAGCAAGAGGGCGAGTGGCACAAGATGCAAGCGGAGAGAAAACTAGGGCCAAATCACACAGCGTCTTGTAAGGCTTAGGAAAGAGCTTGGATTTTATTTAAGAGTAATTGAATGGCCTTGGAGGGTTGTAAGCAAGGGAATGAAATGATTTGGTTTAGATTTTTAAAAGACCATTTTGACTATTGGGTGGAGACTGGATGGGAGAAGAACAGGAGTAAAAGGAAAGAGATCAGCTAGAATCGACAGCAGTAGTCCAACAGAACGATGATGAGTTCTTGGATGAACTTGAGAGGTGATGGTGGAGATGGAAAGAGGATGGATTTGAGGTGTATTCTGGAAGCCGAGCAGCATTGTAGGTGATAGGCTGGATGTGAGGATGAGAGAAGAGGTAGAATCAAGAATAATTATCCTGCTCATTAGACCTTTATTTCCTGCTTGAGGACTTAGTGTCTTTTTATAAATATATTATGTCTTCCCAAATTAATGGAGAGTTCGTAAAGAACAGAATATTTATCTTATAATCTCTTCCACTCCATAATGCCTACTTAAAATAGTATGTTTGACATAGTAAATACTAAATAGT